TTATGTCTTAATGCTATTATGTTTACTTAATGAAATGTGTAACGCAATGTTGTGACCCACCCTGAGCCCGCTCGTGGGGGAGGGCGGGATGCAAATCAAATCAAATCAATCAAAAAATTTTGGCCCATCATTGCCTTGGAAACCCTCTGGGGGTCATCATAAAAAGGCTGAGACGCGATGGGGAGGGGGAAGCATAGAAGAGAAACAGACTTGAGTGTCAGGTTCCTGGTTAAATCAGTTCTCAACACCAGCCAGTTTGAAGAAAGCTAACTTTATTGAGACAGTTGATAGATACCATCCTGGACACATCTATTGTTAGGACTGAAGTTAAACATGCGAATGTTGTAGGGATAGTGGATTCAAGCAAAGGCACTAAAGATCAGGACCCAATCACCCCATGGTATTTGCCTGCCAGAACTAACCGTCAGCTCCTCCCCCTTCCCCGCTAGGCACGTAGCCTTTACATAGTAAGGACAACAGGACCACAGGTCAAATCTGCATTTGTCTTTCCCACCGGTGTCCCAGCCTTCTGACTACGTCTTCTAAAAATCTGCCTACATTTGGTTTCATTTTCACACCTCAACAGTGCTAGCATACTTTTGCACATCTGCATATGTTTATCACCTTCTAGTGGCGGCTCCACTGTCATTGCACCTCCCCCACTGCTTTAAAAGAATCATCTCCAAACAACGTTTGAATAAGCATAGAGAAAGACGGCGTCACAGCAGCACAAAACTGATTTAAAAATGCAAATGCAGATTCAACCACAGACATTTGAGAAGCCAGGACATTTGGCATCGATAAGGTGACAAAGAGCGCGCGCGAGAGAGAGAGGAACCTCCTCTCCCAAACGACAGGCGAGCTGTAAAATGCAAAATGCACAGCCGAGTCTGACATTGAGGTGTCTTCCACTCTGCGTTGGCTTCTAAATGTGATGGGAGCAGATTCTAAGCAACAAAGCTGATGTGCCCCAACAAGAAAAATGCACAGATGTGCTATAGTAGTACATGGTGCATTAGAATTTCATATCACTGAAAATCCCTTCTCCTCCTAGCCTTAACTATGGTTTTGCTTGATGCACGAAGGCAGACATCTTAGCTTGATTTTGTTTGGTCCCCCAGTCTTGACCACATGGTGACACAGGTTGGGATACCAGCCAGGTTCTTGCACGGGAGGGGAATCCAGTTCATGGTTTGTGAGCTGCATTGTACTTTCACAAACTAGCCTTAGACAAAATAAACCATGGCTTTGTGTCATGTTTGTGCGAGAATACCAGGGTTGTGGTTTTTTTTTAACTTTTGCCCTCTTGTAAATTAGCAGGAATTCTGCAGGAAGTGCACTTTCTGTAAAGGGAAATGGGTTCTCATGTTTCTTGTGGAAATAGGCAGCTTTCTTTCCCTCCCCCTTTTCACTACATTATTTATTGGACACATCATACTGTCTTTTATTTCATTGTTCTCTAAAAGGGAAGTCTCTAATTATGGAATCCAGTTTATGGGATGGATGATCTTGTTTTTATTGAATTTATTTCATTGTATAAGCTACTTTTATTGCATTGTTCATTGCAGGTATTATACTGGCCTTTATTGAATTGTTTTTATAACTCTCCTGCAACGTAAGTATGTCAGCATATGGTTTTATATTGCTGGCAAGATGACAGCTCAGGTATGTGAGTCAATTAGATCTTCTTGATCTGTAGGTGACAGAGCTGGAGTAATGTGACTTGTCACCAGGTCTAGATTGCATCATTCTCACTGGAGTCACAGTGAGTCAGCCCTATGCTGTGATTGGTGCTTCTCTGTATATGTTCTGTGCACTCTGCTTGTACAGAATCACTCTACTGAATTGGATGCCTTGCGAAGCACTTTGTTAGTCTGCCTGAGAACTTGGATTCTAACTTGGATGCTTTTTTTTAACTTTTGCCCTCTTGTAAATTAGCAGGAATTCTGCAGGAAGTGCACTTTCTGTAAAGGGAAATGGGTTCTCATGTTTCTTGTGGATATAGGCAGCTTTCTTTCCCTCCCCCTTTCTACTACATTATTTTTGGACACATCATACTGTCTTTTATTTCATTGTTCTCTAAAAGGGAAGTCTCTAATTATGAAATCCAGTTTATGGGATGTATGATCTTGTTTTTATTTAATTTATTTCATTGTATAAGCTAGTTTTATTGCACTGTTAATTGCAGGTATTATACTGGCCTTTATTGAATTGTTTTTATAACTCTCCTGCAACGTAAGTATGTCAGCATATGGTTTTATATTGCTGGCAAGATGACAGCTCAGGTATGTGAGTCAATTAGATCTTCTTGATCTGTAGGTGACAGAGCTGGAGTAATGTGACTTGTCACCAGGTCTAGATTGCATCATTCTCACTGGAGTCACAGTGAGTCAGCCCTATGCTGTGATTGGTGCTTCTCTGTATATGTTCTGTGCACTCTGCTTGTACAGAATCACTCTACTGAATTGGATGCCTTGCGAAGCACTTTGTTAGTCTGCCTGAGAACTTGGATTCTAACTTGGATGCTGACTTGGATTGTATGTATTATATTGTAAATAAATCACTGCAGAGGTCATTTCGGGGGGAACGTGGGAGATCGCAGTTCCCCCGGGTGAGGTGTGGGGGGGGCACACGATGAAGCCCTGCCCCCTGCTTCCGGCCACCCTGCTTTCGGCCCTCATTCAGCCAGGAGGAGGCAGGAGAAGAGGGAGGGTAAGTTGCCTCCTCCCCGCCTCTCCCCACCCCTGCCTGCCTGGGGCCAGGGAGGGCCTTGGCGGGGCTTCCTCGCACTCCTGCCGGCCTTGTAGGTCCACCGCCAGGCCCCTGATGGCAGGGGGTGTGGCATATGCTAATGAGTTATGCTAATGAGTTCCCCTAGCTCTTTTTCTACGAAATGACCCCTGAACCACTGTATATAGTTCAGCACTAGCACATTGTGGATTGCTTTCTTCACCACGCTTCCACTACGCCGTCAAAGTAACCCTTGTGGAAGGAACGTGAAAAGATATTTGGGACTGAAGAGACAGCTATGAACTTGACTCTGCCAGGATGAAGTCTCTGGGTTAGACTTTTCCAGCTCCATCTCTTCTAGCTATTTAGTTTTTCCTGGATCATCTGTAGCCTGACTGGCTGCTGGGTCTATCTAGCAAAACCTCCTGAGAAACTCAGGCTGTGGTCAGACGTGCCTTTAGATCTGACTCGGCTGCAAATGCCTGATGGATCTAAAGGGCATGATCAGACAGCAACATCTGGGAAAAGTCCTGCAGCCATTGGCACCCCGAGCTGCCTTGCCACAGAAGCGGGGTTAAAAGACACCGGGGAAAGTCTAGTCCCGATGCTTGCTGATGGGCTACGGATGCACTCACTCCAGCTACCGGGATGGTCTGCTCATTCCATCCCAACCCGGTGACGTTTTCCCCCCTTGCTTAGCAGTATGCGCATAACCGCATACTCCATGGGGAACCCTCCATGTGGAGGTGTGATTCCTCATTTATGCACATGGGAAACAAAGGGGAAAAAGAAAAACCATGTGCTCGCATGTGCCATCTGATCATGTAGTGACGGACTGAGCCCGCAGCGACAAAGGATGTGTGATCACGCAATGCGGTGTCAATTTCCATGGGGGGGGTTGGAATAGGCTCGCTTCCCCTCCGCACCAAACGGCATGTCGGATCGCAGCCCCAGACAGGTTTCACGTTGGGAGTCCAAGCTGTTTTTGCAGTGGGATTGCTAGTTTAGTTCTTCATAGTGGTCTCCCCGGGTCTAGCTTAGGGGTGCCAGCCTCCAAGAGGGACTTGGGGATCCCCAGAATTACAGCTCATCTCCAGACTACAGAGATCAGTTCCCTGCTTTGAAGGGTGGCCTCTATGGCATGGCACCACCATGAAGTCCCTGTACTCCCCAGGCTCCATCCCTCAGTCTCTAGGAGTTTTCCAACCTGGATCTGGCAAGCAACCCTACCTTCCCATCCCCACGGGTGGCTGGGGGGGGCCCTGGCAACCCTAGAACTGTCCATCATTGCATGTCCTCTGTCTGTCTGACCAGGTTGACTACCTGTACTGTAGTCAGTTGGCATCCTGTAGATTTGCTCCTGGCTTGCTTTGCCTAGAATCCCCAGCATATCGTTCTGCAAGGTCTGTCTCATGTACTTAGGGACTTCAGTTCCGGGCGAATTTACTTTGTTCCCAGAATGGGCTTTGGCCCCCCTGCTCTGAGGTTGCGCCTAGTATGCATACCCAGACAGATCACCAGTTAATGTATGCTTGGATCGTTAGTTATCTCCACTCTCCAAATCTGTACAGTCACCAAAAGGATTCAAAAGAACTGGAGGATATATAGGGAATAACCAGGGTTGGGACTAGGGTCTCTGAAGGACTCCTTGCTCCCCTATAGTCCTGCCCATCTTTCATCAGAGGACACTCTGTGGATGCCCCTGCTTGTCACCCAATGGTGGAACCACGATATCGGAATAGGTTTCTTTGGAAAGACTTTCCCAGTGCACAACCTACTGTCATTCCAGCATCAGGTGAAGACAATTCTTATTTCAGGGAATGTTCTAACATGTTATTATGTTTTTAGATGTTTTAAGGAACTGCTGCAAGGAAGAATTGTGTCTCATTGAGGTGTTATTGTGTGTTATTGCTATGCTTTTAGTACTGTCGCAACTGCTCAAATATGGTCGATGTTGTTGCCACTGTTTCTAAGATTTGTGTGTGTGTGCAAAATTCAGTCTTTATTAGGAGGATTTTCTGACAGTCAGATTGAGGGATCAAAATCTCTTGCCCGTGGTACAAGACAACCATTTGCCAGCAGTGGCAGCAACGACGTCAGTTTCTTTAAAATGATAGCTGCCTAGCAGACCAGCTCCATATGTACCAGTGTTCTAGTGTAAGAGTACACTTCATTGACACTAGTGAAAATTCTGCACAGTGTAAATCCATCAGAGAGCGATCCAGACACAATGCAGCTCAACCGATATAATGACGAGAGGAAAAAGATACCTTAACTTTCAGTTCATACACTTCTTTCTTCAGTTTAATTGGGTTTGTAACAACAGAAATGGCTCCAGTTGTGTTGTTTATTTCAAATGAGTCTTCACTCCCTGCCACAAAACAGAAACATAATTTGTTATGGCTACATCATTTCCTGTCGCCCTGATGAATGAAAGGCTCCATTCCAATTTGACTCCTAGGGAACTAGTAAGATGCAATGGCTGGAGACCCTGAATGGCAATTGTTGTTGTTGTTGTTGTTCAGTCGCGCAGTTGAGTCCGACTCTTCGCCAGATGCCTGAACACAAATCTGACCCCCTCAATGGGACCAGGCCCGTAGCCAGGAATTTTTTGTTCAGGGGGCATTTAAACTTTTAAGGAGGCAGTTAAATCACCGTTAATTAAATTAATCTGAA